ATAGAAAAATCGGCAGCTGACTGGAGGAAGCTTTCCTTCTCAGTGAAAATAATAGTTCCTCTACTTCTGAACTCCAAGGCCTACTTTTTGCTACAGATAGGAAGGCTCAGCCAGTTACCCTCAGCTTGTTGGTAAATGGCAAGTTGCGGTCCCTTCCTCGCCTTCTATATGGTTATTGTATAGTCCCTTGTACACAAGGGGCGTGGGGGGCCGGTGCAGATGTTTGCATGGCTGCTGCGAGGAGCTACTGCCTCTGTGCAGAGTCTAGTTGGGAATGAATGAGGTGGCCCCAGCCCTTTTCATAGTTCTCTTCCATGTCTGGAACAGAGGCAGCCAAAAAGGGCATTGAGCCAAAAAGGGGTGGTAAGTAGACTCGTGCTGGGGTGAAAATGTCCTGTCTCCCCAAAAGTAAATGAAATTGCATGAGTAAGTGCAGGGTGTGGAAGGTGTCTGTATTCAGAGTCAGTTTGACTATATTGACAACAGTCTCCACAGAGTTTTCTCCTGAACTTTTATTCTCATCTTGATTTTTCACAAGATGCGCATCAGGGTATGGGGTGTCATATCGCGAAGCAGGGACGTGGAAATGGATTCGTTGGGAACAGAGGTTGGGTGGCTTCTCAGCCCTGCCTTGTCTTGCCTCGCTTCGGAGGAAGCTAGTTGCCTGGACTGTAGCTGCCACTTAGATCCACCGCAGCTTTTCAAGCAGGAGCCATTTTGGCTGAGGGCAGGATCCTGCAGCCACTGGAGACCTGGCTGCCACACCCATACCCACACCACCAGCACGCCCCATCCCCTTCCCCTAGCCCACTCTACTCCAGGGCGCTCTCACCTGATGCCTAGTTTCAGATTCCGGCCTGTCAGAGGAAACTGCCCTTCTTATTAGAACTCGTCCACCCTGCCACTGTGAGTGCTGAGGCGTGGCGGAGTCTCCGTTCCTCCCTTTGAGTTCTCCATTCCTCAGTTGGTGAACAGGCTGTGTGTGCCCCTCATAGCCATCCATACAGCTAACTTGGTTATTCTTGTGTGTGTCATTCAAAAGTTCTAAATTCTTTTTTTTTTTTTTTTTTTTTTTTTTTTTGAGACGGAGTCTTGCTCTGTTGCCCAGGCTGGAGTGCAGTGGCCGAATCTCAGCTCACTGCAAGCTCCGCCTCCCGGGTTCACGCCATTCTCCTGCCTCAGCCTCCCGAGTAGCTGGGACTACAGGTGCCCGCCACCTCACCTGGCTAGTTTTTTGTAATTTTTAGTAGAGACGGGATTTCACCATGTTAGCCGGGTGGTCTCGATCTCCTGACCTCGTGATCCGCCCGTCTCGGCCTCCCAAAGTGCTGGGATTACAGGCTTGAGCCACCGCGCCTGGCCAAAAGTTCTAAATTCTAAAGCCAGGCCAGAGCTTTTGTGACCTGATTCACTTTAAGGGCAACCTCTTCAAAGCAGTCTACTGGAAGTTCCAGGTCATGACATTTTTCTGCTGGAATTTGGTTGGGCCCTTGGAGTTTTCTTACAGGAATTCCCTCGGCAGGCAAAATGTAAGTTGAGATATACATGGTGTTTGTCATAGGAATCATCTTTTGTACCAGGTGCTTTCTGTGCTCTGAGAGCGGGTACAAGGTGATACCATATGTGTTCACTCGGCTACTTGTCCTGACCAGGTGGCTTCAGCCCCGGAAAGAAATGGAGGAGCCAACTGAGACTGCTGCTGGGTGTCTTCGGGAAGTTGCCTGTAGCTAAATAAAAAATACATCCTATGCTTTTCCTAGAAAATGCTGTATGGTGTGGTCAGCTGAGTAATAACCCCCCAAATATGTCCACGTCCTAATCCCCAGGCCTTACGTAGCAAAAGGGATTTTGCAGATGTGATTAAGTTAAGGACTTGAGGTTGGAGAGATTATCCTGGATTACCTGGGTGTGCCTCATGTAATCACAAAGGCCTTTGTCAAAGGGAGGCAGGAAGGTCACAGAGAAAGGAAGAGATGGATGATGGAAGCAGAGGTCAGAGTGAGGTGGCCATGAGCCAAGGAATGCAGGCAGCCTCTAGGTGCTGGAAAAGACAAGGAAAAGGATTCTCCCCTAGAGCATCCTGAAGAAGCACAGCTCTGCTGACCCATTATAGACTTCTGACCAGTAAGATAAAAATTCTGGCTGGCATCACCCTCAACTCAGATGACTTGCTTGCTCATTGGCCTCGTCACCATGATTTCAGGCTAGAATGTTGTCATAAGTGGGAGTTGAACAATGAGAACACACAGACACAGGGAGGGGAACAACACACACCAGTGCCTGTCAAAGCAGGAGAGCGAGGGGAGGGAGAGCATCAGGACAAATAGCTAATGCATGCGGGGCTTAAAACCTAGGTGACAGATTGGTAGGTGCAGCAAACCACCGTGGCACATGGATTCCTATGTAACAAACCTGTATATTCTGCACATGTATCCCAGAACTTAAATAAAAATTAAAAAATAAGACATACACTTTAATCAAGTACAGTTTGTTTCGGAAATGGAAGAAATTAGGGAATACGAAGTTAGACAATCTGAAAATATACACATTAAAAATTCTAAGAAAAACAATCATACAGTAATCTCTATGGATGGTGAAAAAGCCTTCAATAAAATTTATTAGTTTCCTTAAAAAAAAAAAAAAAAGGGCATCGTGGCTTGCACCTGTAATATCAGCACTTTGGGAAGCCAAGGCAGGAGGATTGCTTGAACCCAGGAGTCCAAGATCAACCTGGGCAACATGATGAAACCTTGTCTCTACAAAAAATTTAAAAATTAGCGGCTGGGCGCGGTGGCTCAAGCCTGTAATCCCAGCACTTTGGGAGGCCGAGACGGGTGGATCACGAGGTCAGGAGATCGAGACCATCCTGGCTAACCCGGTGAAACCCCGTCTCTACTAAAAAAAAAATACAAAAAACTAGCTGGGCAAGGTGGCGGGCGCCTGTAGTCCCAGCTACTCGGGAGGCTGAGGCAGGGGAATGACGTAAACCCGGGAGGCGGAGCTTGCAATGAGCTGAGATTGGGCCACTGCACTCCAGCCTGGGCAACAGAGCAAGACTCCGTCTCAAAAAAAAAAAAAAATTAGCTGGACGGGGTGGCGCACACCTGTAGTCCCAGCTACTCAGGAGGCTGAGGTGGGAGGATCACTTGAGCCCAGGAGTTCAGGCCGCAGTTGAACTGTGATCTCACCACTGCACTCCAGCCTGGACAGCCAGAGTGAGACTGTCTCAAAAAAAAGAAAAAAGTGTTGTTTTTAAGCCACTAACTGTGTGTAACTTGTCACAAGGGCAATAGGAAACTAAGACAGTGGCCAATCTGACTATGAAAATAAGGGCAGGCTACACTGGAGAGCCGGGATAGGGACACCCGGGTGGGGGGCAGAGACATGGGTCACCTCAGGGGAGAACACACTCAGGAGGCAGCCCGTGATGGCACATGGAGGCTGGGAGCACGGTGCTCAAGGATCAGCTCATCAAGGAGCTTGACCAAATTTAGAGCAAGGCCCTGTGATGGTACATAGAGATGTTTGTTCTAAGCAGCAATAGAAAGCTTCCGGAATCTATTCCATTAAGGGGTGAAAATGTGAGTTGTTTTGGAGTTGTTTTCAGCAAAGTCACAATGATAGCACCATTATAGATATTTTAGGGACGTAATCCTGATCTTTTGGGTGGATGACCAGAATGTCTAGTTGGTTCACTGAGCCCTGGTTTTGACCCAATATGGTAATTCGTGAACTCTTAGGAGGCAGAAATATCCTAATCCTGTGCGAGCCAGGGACCCTTGGACTGTAACTGTCTTGTCTGCTTTTGATCATGAAGGAGACTCAGAGGCCCAAACCAGAATTCAGGAAAAAGAGCAATAGGATTGTGTTTAAAAAACACACACATGCATTTTTAACCAGTTTATTCCCTACAAAAAAATGAAGTACCAATTTTGTTTCCTCTTGTGCAGACTGAGAATAGACTTTATTACAGTGTATTCGAATTCCATTATGCCAAAACAGAATGACCTTTTGTTGTTTTGAATAATGGCCTTAGACCTGCAGGAAGCTGCATCTGATGAGAAACATGGTACCATAAAAGAAACCCAAAAACACCGAAGGCCTGCCACCATGCTCCCATTTCAAAGCACACCATAGAGAGCTAAGGACATGTGCACATGCCCCTTCCTAACTTGGGACCTCTTTACCCTCCACCCCAGCTGCGGGGTATTTCACGATGTGATGCTTAGAATGCTGAGATCAAGTATGAAAAGACCTTTTTTTTTTTTTTTTTTTTGGAGACAGAGTTTCGCTCTTGTTGCCCAGGCTGGAGTGCAGTGGCATGATCTTGGCTCACTGCAACCTCCCACTCTGGGGTTCGGGTGATTCTCCTGCCTCAGCCTCCCAAGTAGCTGGGATTACAAGCACCCACCACCATGCCCAGCTAATTTTTTTATTTTTAGTAGAGATGGGGGTTTCTCCATATTGTCTAGAACTCTTGACCTCAGGTGATCCGCCCACCTCAGCGTCCCAAGGTGCTGGTATTACAGGCGTGAGCCACTGCACTTGGCCTAAACGACTTGTTTTGAAAGAGACTGAGATTCCCCTTCTGGCTCTGTTCCTACCTGGTTGCGCAAACTTAGAACCTCTCTAAGCTTTGTTTCCTTAACTCTGAAGGATAATGATTTAAATCATTTTAAGGATTTCTAAAGCCCCGGTTCTTTATAAGAGAAGGTGGATAAAGATTATTTTCCTTCCGACTCTCTGCAGCGCTGTACCAAACCTGTGGACAAAGGGTCCTCTCAGTGGGACTGAGGCAAGCGGTCATTCCTTACGGTCAAAGTCCTGCCCTTCCTGACCATGTTTTCCTGAGTCCTAGCCTTTCTTGTGGGGAGCAGGGTATGAGGATTAAGATCCTGTCATGTCTTGTCCCAGCATGTGGGAGTGAGATCTGTGGTTTTTGCGACTTGATATTTAAGGGAGAATCATTCATCTTTTCCCAATTTTTGTTCCTCTTTCAGATTGATTCATGGTGCAAAGATCATAGCTACGTGATTGCTGGTTATTATCAAGCTAATGAGCGAGTGAAGGATGCCAGGTACGTGGATGCGGAACCGTCTGTAGGCGAGGAAGTGAGCACATGACAGGCAGAGCCTATCTCTCGTGTGCTTTTCGACCAGATACGAAACCTGTGAGACCCATGCCCCTTCCCTCTGTGCTTATTTATAGTATCTGAGGCAAACTGTGGTGTGGATAATTCCAAACAACAGAAATTCCAAACATTTCTATTAACTTTGGGATTCTGTTCTGTGTCTTCTTTATTTTGCATGAAGGGAATTCATACAATGAAAGCGACAGTCGGGGTTCCGGTTTCTGTCCCTGCTCAGCTCTGCCTTGCTTCCTCTTCCCAGACTAGGGGTGGTGGTGGGCAGAGCACTGGGAAGGAATGCTGCTCTATTTGCCAGCAAATAGACCAGCCTGTAGGTTTGGGGTCAGTACTCTGATGAAAATGTGGTATTTGCTGCCCCATTTATGCTGGTTCTTTCTTCCTTTTATCCGGATCCTTCCCCCACTGGGGCTCTCACTAATAACAAAGCTGAGAATTTTTCTGTATGTCTGTGTCATCTTGGTCCCAACAGAAAAACAGAGGACACGCTCGGGTTGGGATCGTCTGAGAAGGGCTTAATAAGCAGGCTGTTCACAAGTCATGGGCCGTAGATAAGAGAACGCACAGGGGGTCGTGCAGTAACCAAGACTGGCAACAACAGTCCAGAGGGTGGGGAGGAAGGTGCTGGGTAAAGAAGTCCACCTTGAGAAGAGCAGTGCCCTTAGGCAGGTGGCCACAGCCAGCCTGACATGGCCTCCCATCTGGGGAGGGGTGGCCCAGAGCAGTCAGTACCTGATGTCCCTCTTTCATTTTCCTTTGGCTTAACACAGCCAGAAGCCAGACGGGCAGCTGGAAAGTCCACACAGTATATAACAGGGGCATGCGTCATGCTGCCCTGACATGGCTTCCTCATGTTGTCGGATAGAGCCGACCCTCCAGTGTCCAGGGAGATGGGGGTGCAGTGAAAGGCCCTGCCATTGGGTCCGCTTGCTCAGCACAGATGAGAAGGTGAGCTCGAGCACTTTGGAAATAATACTGTAAGCTGGTGACCGCATTGCTATCACTGATGAGGCACCAGTGTTTCTGATGAGAAACATGGTATCATAAAAGAAACCCAAATTTAGAAACATAATTATCTTACCCTTTTGGAGGGCTGGGTCCACGCACTGGATCCTGAGGGAGGCAGATGTCCTAGGAGATGCGGCGCTCAAAGTCAGTCCACTGAAGCGTCTGCTGGGGCGGTTGGGAGCGCATGGAAGCCTCATGCACGCTGGCTCTTCTGCTGCTTCCTCTGAGCCCATGAGCAGCACTGGCCTGTCCGGCTTCAGCACATCTCTTCTGACTCTCACTGGGATGTCCTCTGTTTGATATTGCCTGCCACCCTTTGTTGATGACTCCGTGTCTCCTGTCCTTCACTGAGCGAGAGCCTACCCACAGGGCCACATCCATCTTAGTCTTTGTTACATGAAAGACTAGGCGTGGGCTGGGGAAAGCGCAGTCCTCTGGCCCTTGCCCTCCTGTGGCTGAGTTAAACATGAAGGACAGTGCAAACGCAGGCTGCAGTGCAGGACAGTGGCCCCTGCAGGGGGCTTGGCGGCAGGGCCCGGGAGACTTAGACCTGGTAGAATGATCCCAGAAGCCACAGGGCACGATGTCCTGTAAACCAGGCCCTCAAGAGTGGGCAGGGCCTTGTCAAGTGCAGATGTAGAGACCAGGAGGTCAGCATTCCTGGTTGGGGGATAGAAGACACAGGTGAAGACGTGGCAGTGGCTGGGGCCGTGCCCACATGGAGGGAGATGCTAGGAAGTAAGGCTGCACAGGTAGGTTGGGCCACACCTAAGGGCTCCTCCGTGCTCAGAAGCATTTTGAACTTCACCTTGCAAGCAGTGGGGAGCGCCCTTGGCAGGAATGTGTTCCTGGACCAAGCAGTGTCTCCCGCGGCTGTCCCTGCAGAAGGGAGAGGAGACTGGGCAAGTGGGAATGGCATCAGGTTGTCAAATGAGTGCAGGGGCCTCCCTTTCCTTAACCCCTCACGCGCAAATCCGTGTCTGATGTGGTCACCCCACGTGGACCCGTGCAGGCTGTCCTGTCCTCCTCTCTGCACACACCTCATCTGGCTCACAGCCCTTATGTTCTTACCTCTGTGCTGACCTCATTACAGCCCAACCTGGAATTATCCTACTCAGACACAGTTTTCCTGCTCTCCATACCTTCCTTCTAGAATGTCGTCCCTGTCCTCACCTAGTCCACGTCCTTCTGCATCCTCTAGGAGGTTTGCAGTCCTTCATTAATAGACTTTTAAATGCATCCCGAGCAGCCATTTGTCAGATGTGTAGAGAGGATAAACCTTAGGTAGGGGTCTGCCACCCTGGAATAGGGAATCCACCCCCCCGTGTGCCCAGTTGTTTGAGGAGGAAACCTCAGGTAGTTAATGCTGTCCTATCCTTGGGCTCTGTTAGAGTCACTTTATTTCATCCTCACAGCAATGCACAAGTGAAGAAACTCCAGCCAGAGAAGGTGGCTTCTCAGAGGCCACATGGCTTGGGAGCTTAGGAGCTAAGATCTTGCCAACTTCTGACTTAAGTATGGTTTTGCTTTTGCCTGGAAAACCTTCCCCTCTCTTCAGCCAGACCTAGCTGAAAATTTACTCTTATTCTAGAAATATTGCCTGATTCACAGTGTCTTGCAGTATGAATTGGAGCCAAATAGACCTGGATTCAAATTCTAGGTGACTTACTGATGCGCCTCCTTGGGCCTCCGTGGCCCTATCTGTAAAATGGAGCTGAGTTCGTGCCTCAGAGAGTAGTCATGAGGACAGAATGAAATAGCGCAGCGTGTTTGGCCTTGTGCTTGGTTTACAGTAGTGGCTGGTGCTGTTACTAGTGCTGCGATGACTTTTTCTATTATTTGTCTAATGTAGTGTTTATAACTTTTATGAATTTCCTAAACCTTAGGTCATTCTATCAAGTTTTATTATATGATTTGTTGTTGACCAGTGTTTTGCTTCATAGTTAGCATTTGATATGGGCAGGTTTCAGTGCCTGGCAGAGAGCCCTGGCCTGAGGCAGACACTCAGGAAGAAGCTTTTAGATACACAGCATAAGATGGCACCTACACGCTGGTCCAACGTGGTGCTGTTGGGAGGGTGAGCAGAGGGGTCTGCCTTCAGGATGCCTGCAGTTTTGGTTGGCAGCTGTGTCTTTCTAGGAACAAGGAGTTCCTGACAGCAGGAACCACAGCGGGGCAGTCTTCATTCAGGATGAAGTGGATCAGTATTGGAGATTCAGTGCCTAAGACAGAGAAATGCAAAGTTGGCAGCTCCTTCCGATACTTTTGACGGTTCATTAACTACAGATTTTTTGGGGGGTGGGTGGGGAGCAGACAGAGCCTCACTCTGTCACCCAGGCTGGAGTGCAGTGGCATGATCTTACCTCACTGCAACCTCCGCCTCCCGGGTTCAAACTATTCGCCTGTCTCAGCCTCCCGAGTAGCTGGAATTACAGGCACCTGCCACCATGCCTGGCTAGTTTTTGTATTTTTAATAGAGACGGGCTTTCACCATGTTGGCTAGGCTAGTCTCGAACTCCTGACCTCAAGTGAGCCACCCGCCTCAGCCTCCCAAAGTGCTGGGGTTACAGGCATGAGCCACCACACCTGGCCAACTACAATTTTTATTTTATTTTATTTTATTTTATTTTATTTTATTTTATTTTTGAGGTGGAGGCTTGCTCTGTCACCCAGGCTGGAGTGCAGTGGTGCGATCTCAGTTCACTGTAAGATCCGTCCCCTGGTTCACACCATTCTCCTGCCTCAGCCTCTGAAGTAGCTGGGACTACAGGCGCCCACCACCACGCTTGGCTAATTTTTTTTGTATTTTTTAGTGGAGACGGGATTTCACTGTGTTATCCAGGATGATCTCCATCTCCTGACCTCGTGATCCGCCCGCCTCAGCCTCCCAAAGTGCTGGGATTACAGGCGTGAGCCACCGCGCCCAGCCACAAAGTTTTAAACTTCTTTTAAAATAATAAATTTTAGGCCAGGCATGGTGGATCACACCTGTAATCCCAGCACTTTCAGAGGCCAAGGCGGGAGGGTCACTTGAGCCAGGAGTTCAAGACCAGTCTGGGCAACATAGCAAGACCTCATCTCTACAAAAAAATACAAAAATTAGCTGGACATGGTGGCCTATGCCTGTGGTCCCAGCTACGAGGGAGGGTGGGGTGGGAAGATGACTTGAGCCTGGGCAGTTGAGGCTGCAGTGAGCCATGATCTCGCCACTGTACTCCAGCCTGGGCAACGGAACAAGACCCCATCTAAAAATCGGTGAACAGAAAGATATATGCTTAGAATTCTTGAGCATCTAAAATGGTAGTTTTTCTTTTTAATGAGGTTTCTTTATCCTCTTCCCAATAAAAATCCCTGACCAGCATGATCAGTGTTAAGTACGAGGATAAGGGCTTTGCAAGCTCTTCATGGCAAGTGGCCCTGCCTTTTGCTTTCCAAGTTCCTCAGCAAATGCAGGAGCAGGCAGAGGTGGGTACACGGGCAGGCCTCCTGAGGGCTCTGTACTCGCTCCTCACCATTTGCCATCAGTGCTGTAGGGACCTGGCACCCACTGAGTCCTGGTTGGTGCAGTGAAGCACTGCCTTCCCTCTGTGCTAGGAGCAGCTATCACGCTGCTTTCTTCAGTACGATTGACTTCTACCTGGAAAATCTCACTTTCCCTCTTAAGTCATATTTTTCTTAACACAGTCACATTTTTAAGTCATATTTTTCTTAACACTGCAGCCCTATAATCAGTACATCACTTTGTCAATTTTGAAAATGAAAATAGAATAATCATATAAAATAATTTTTTAAAACATTAATTTTTTTAGCCTAATCACAAGGAAAGGATTGTAATTGTATATTGTGTGCTTTGTTAAATAACTCACAATAATCCATGTATTTTTATGACTGTTAAAAGAAAGATGGGGCCGGGCGCGGTGGCTCACGCCTGTAACCCCAGCACTTTGGGAGGCCGAGGTGGGTGGATCACGAGGTCAGGAGACCGCGACCATCCTGGCTAACACGGTGAAACCCTGTCTCTACTAAAAATACAAAAAATTAGCTGGGCGTGGTGGTGAGCGCCTGTAGTCCCAACTCCTTGGGAGGCTGAGGCAGGAGAATGGCGTGAACCCAGAAGGCAGAGCTTGCAGTGAGCCGAGATCGTGCCACTGCACTCTGGCCTGGGCAACAGAGCTAGACTCCGCCTCAAAAAAAAAAAAAGAAAGAAAGATGGATGGCTTGGTCCCTGCCACAAAAAGCTGAAACTCTTGATTGTGCGGGGCAGATAAGATGCACAGAAGGAAAGCAGCACGTGCCATGGACTCTGTGTTAGAGCCTCTTAGAAATAAATCCTCAGAGCTCCAACAGAGCAGGGGGCCTCGTCCAGGGCGGTTTAGCAGGGCTTTGTGGCGAGGGTGGCATGTCTTCTGTGCCCTGAAAGAGGGGAAGCAATTCAGTAAGGAGGGCTTGGTGTGGAGGGCCAGACAGGGGGACAGTGTCAGTGAAAAGATGGGCATGTGAGGGAGATGACATGTAGGCAGATTTCCTGACATGGAAGACACAGCATTGCCCCTGTGGCTGAGCATGGTAGCTCAGCTCACCATGACGAAGGCCTGGCTCTGCCAGCCTGAGAATGGTAGCCTTCATCTTGCAGGCAGTGGTGAGCAGTAGTCTGTGGGGCCGTGAGCACCAGGGGATGCGATGGGAGTTCTGTTTTAGGAAAATTTAGTTCAGGAGAAACTTCAGGTTACATCAGAGAAGAAGAGCCTAAGCTGAGCTTCATAGCGCATGCCTGTGGTCCCAGCTGCTTGTGAGGCTGAGCAGGGAGGATTGATTGAGACCAGGAGTTGATGGCCATGATCGCACCTGTGAATAACCTCCATGCTCCAGCCTGGGCAACGAAGCGAGACTGTCTCTCTCTCTCTCTTTTTTTTTTTTTTTGACACGCACAGGTTGGAGTGCAGTGGCATGACCTTGGCTCGCTGCAACCCCCACCTCCTGGGTTCAAGCGATTCTCCTGCCTCAGCCTACCAAGTAGCTGGGACTACAGACGTGCACCACCACACCCAGCTAATTTTTGTATTTTTAGTAGAGACGGGGTTTCACCATGTTGGCCAGGCTGGTCTCAAACTCCTGACCTCAGGTAATCCACCTGCCTCAGCCTCCAAAAGTGCTGGGATTACAGGCATGAGCCACTGCACCCATCCGACCCTATCTCTTTAAAAAAGAGAGCAAGCGAGCCTAGAAATTATGAGACCAGTTAGGAAGCAGTTTTAGAAGCCCCTGCCTGAAGGAAATAAATGGCAGGGAGAATGCAGGAAGGGAGGGCAGAGAAAGGACCTGTGACCTGCAGGGTGGGGAAGAGCAAAGGAAAAGGTGGCCTCAGGTTGGAGAGGCTGGAAATGGGCTGGCCTGCTTGAGTGTGGTGGGTTCCCGCAGGGAGGCTTTTGAGGGGGTAGCAGTCTTGGGGCCATCAGGCAGTGGTCAGGAGACTTCCAGGTGCTGCTCTGCAAGGGAATGGGGTAGATGGCAGATTGCACAGAGCTGTGGTGAGGACATGGCGCAAGACTAGCGGCTTGTTAAAGAAGTTGAAGAAACAGGCGTGGAAGGGAAGAGGGAGGCTGGACAGCAGCTAGAGAGAACCAGTTCAATGCTTTTGTTTTTCCCTGAAAATAAAGACTTACACAGATTTGAAGGCAGAACTGGGGCTCGGGCACAGAAAGAATATAAATAAGGCCCCTGAGGAGAAGGCCCCTTCCCGACATAGGCTAGAAGAGTAACTTTGCGTTTGGAGACATGGAGCAGGAATGGTGTAGGAGCTGCTCTGTGATTAGTTCTATTAACTTAAGGTAGAAAGGTAGCATTTATCAGGGTTGGATGGCGGCAGGGCCAGAGCCAGCAGTGAAGGCTCATGAGCATGGAGAAGATGTGGAAAGGCTGAGGAATTTCTCAAAGGGTGATGGACCACCAGCTGCCCTGAGGTTGCTCTTACTTGTTGCAGTGGACAGGTTGCTTTGCTAGTGTGCAGATGGAGAAGGCCAGCCCTGGAGACTTGGGGTTTGGCCCAGGGGCTGGCAGGTGCCCTGCAGTAGACTTTATCTGCCTGCTTCACGCTACTCTCCACTAGGTTCTTGGGAGCCTTCCGTTAGGAGATGCTTCTCAGGATCCCATCACCAGGGCTTTCTGGTTGGAGTGAGGCAAGGACCTGCTTTGCATGATGCGCCCCGTTACCTAACAGTGTTCCCCGTCCTTGCTGGCCACACCCATCACAGTGGGGCTGTCATCACCAAGAGCCACTTTAAATGGGCAAAACATATTTACCTGGCAGGGGAAACACCAAGATCACAAAGGTGGTTTTCCCAGGGCAAGGTTCGTCCGTTGCACTCCAGATGTGCTGACCCTGCGATTTCTTCATATGTGGGGAACTGCCCTCATACTCTCCCCAGCAATATAAATAAATAAGTAGGCTGGGCACAGTGGCCCATGCCTGTAAGCACTTTGGGAGGCCAAGGCAGTAAGATTGCTTGAGGCCAGGAGTTCAAGACCAGCCTGGGCAACATAGCAAGACGTCGTCTCTGCCAAAAAAAAAAAAAAAAAAAAAAACACTAAAAAGTAACTAAGTAACTGGGTGTGGTGGCCTGTGCCTATAGTCCCAGCTACTCAGGAGGCAGAGGTGGTGGAATTGCTTGAATTTGAGGTTACATTGAGCTATGATTACATCACTGCACTCCAGCTTGGGCAACAGAGCAAGACCCTGTCTCTACCAAAAAATTAAATAAGTAAACCGGTGAAGCTAGCACGTGCAGCCTGTTGACTACGCCAGTCTTTCTGTCATTGCTTGTTAAGTCTTGGTGGTGTTGACTGTGCCTTTTGTAAACAGTGTTGGATGGCATTGACTAGAAAATGTGGTAGCCTGACTATTTCTTTGACAGTCCAAACCAGGTTGCAGAGAAGGTGGCCTCCAGAATCGCCGAGGGCTTCAGCGACACTGCACTCATCATGGTAAGTCGCTTCTGTACAGCATGCGGGAGGCCCTTGCACCTCCCCTCACCAACATGGAGCTTGCTCTGCGGCGGTTTCCTTTCCGCTAACCCCTTCATTCATTTATCTGCTTGAGACCATTGCCGCCTCTTGCAGTTTTCTCCCAGCTGCAGACCAGTTGAATCCCAAACCGTGGCTTATGTGCTCCCACATCACTACACAAGTGGGAGTGGGGTCCCCTGCCAGCAGCAGCACCTGGGAACTTGTTAGAAATGCGAATTCCCAGGCATCCACCCCAGATCCCACTGAATCAGAAATGTGGGGGGGTGGGGCCCAGCAGTTCATGTTCACACACCTTCTAGGTGATTCTGATCTGAACATGCCAAGTGCGAGAAGCACAGAATTAGAACAGCCAGCACAGCCTCTAGGGGCGTAGGGAAAGAAGGCACTTGTATGTGAGCAGATGACATCGAGGGCCTTGCTGAACAGCCTTGATTCAGACAGAATCCTAGGATGAGGGAAGAAGTTATATTTGGAAGCTTCGCTTTTGTGAAAAAACAATGAAGGACTTGACATTTTCCTGCCTAACACAACAGTTTTCCTCGGGCCAGACGCTCGCGCCACTCTGCATACCGGCTCTGTGGGAAGAGTCTCTGCCCCAGCCAGCATGGGCACTGCTGCAGGGAGAGCCCCGAGGAGGCGCCTGTCGCTGCTGTTTGGCTAGCATTCTGTTCACTCTCATGTCCTTTGCCTTGTGCTCAGGTAGACAACACCAAGTTTACGATGGACTGCGTAGCGCCTACGATCCACGTGTACGAGCACCATGAGAACAGATGGCGGTGCAGAGACCCACACCAGTGAGTGCGCCCTATGCCACCGCGCAGGCGGGGCTTTGTCAGCGCCTGGCCACACGAGAGCCGCTCTCGCCCAGCCTGTGTTTTCAGTTAGTGTTTTCTCCAGAGGCATGGTACCAAGCATATTCCCCAGCTCCTGTAGGCCCCAGTGCTCCAGCGCTTCCAGGCGGTGGAGGGAACCTCAGTGGTATTCACAGGTCTTCCCACCCCAGGCCCTAGGGCACAGACACTCTTCTTCCCAGGCCTTTGCTTTGGTGTATCTGTGGCCACTCAGAAAGCTTCAGTCATCTGCCACCAACTTTCTCAAAATTCCATGTGAAGGGAGTCCCTTCCACGTATTAACCATGTTTTCTATGCTGTGTACGTCTTCATGCGTTTGAAATGCCCATGTTTCTGAGTACTCTGCGCCATCTCTCCTCATACCACTGTGCATATGGCTGGCCTTCTCTCTTGATGCTGTTACAAGCCGCCCATTTTCACTGTTAGATGCTGACTTCTTCATGTTTGACCCGTAGTGACTACTGTGAAGACTGGCCGGAGGCACAGAGGATCTCAGCCTCACTCCTGGACAGCCGGTCCTACGAGACGCTTGTGGATTTCGATAACCACCTGGATGACATTCGGAATGACTGGACAAACCCAGAGATCAATAAAGCTGTCCTGCACCTGTGCTAGGCAGGCACCGCCATGACTGGGCTCCAGGCCTTTCCACTACGTTGAAGAAGAAAACCTATTTTTAAATGTAAATAAAATATCTTGTAGCCTGTGTGGAAAGCTGACCGTTTTAAGAAGTGGCATGTGCCTTGAAAGGGGGCAGAATGTTCAGTCGGTCGTGTTTTTAACAGAGTCTCTAGAAGAGGTGCAGACATCCCATCTGACTGTCCCTGTGGACTCTCTCAGTTGTATGTTGCTATAATCCTCCAAATCAAAGCTCTTTCTGCTTGTGCAAGATTGTTCCTATTAAACAGTTTTAACTAACCTTTTATAATCTGGAGAGAATACTTTTTAAGGCTTTTGAACTATCTTTTTTTAAAAAAAAAAGCCCACATCTTATACTCCAATGAATGTGTTTGTGAGTTTTTATCCTGTTTGAATTTTGATGTCCAGGCGTCCTGGGATCAGGGTAGGCACGTGGAGTGCCGGTGCTGAGCTGTTTGAGAAGCTCTGTGTGGGTGTTTCTGTCGTCAGGCTGGGCTGTGAACAGCACTGTTCCACGTGGTGTCGGCTCACAGAGGCGCTGCAGCTCTGCACAGTGGGAGTGACACCACTGATGCCACAGAAGCCTTTCTCCTTAGGGGCAAAAGCAAACATCGCTGGTAACAGGAGCTCAGGGTGGTACTCTTCCGCCACCCAGAAAGCTCACATGCCTGCAGGGCCAGGAAAGGGAAATGATCATTTCTTTTGTATTAGGAAAACAAGACTTAGACTTCCCGAGTTGTACAGAGTGACGTCTGTACTTTTTATACTTACAACATTTGGTCAAGTTTTCTAACCAAACCTTAGGAAACTGAGAGGGAAGCTTTGTGGTACCTTTACCTTTTTTCCGTTTTATATGAATTATTTTGTACAAAGTTCAGAGAGCGGTACCTTTCCTACTGTCTTGTCTTCGACTCCATGGAGGAATTTGTAACAATCAGTGTGACCTACTGAAAGGGTTTGTGATACAGCAGTCACTATTTTCTCTTAACACATAGGAAAAAAGTTCAGACATCGCTACAATAAATGTGCTTTATTGGATCCACCAAATTCTCTCTTCCCCTTTCTTCAAATACCTCTTACTCTTGATTTTTTAAGCTGGCGTTCTCTCACATGGGGGGCACAGGAAAGAGCGAGGTGCCTGTGCAGCCCCCTTCTCTCCCCTGCCCTCAGATGCCAATACATCACAGCTGGAGCGAGATCTTGTTGCGAATGGGCTTGGGTTTGTTTCATAAAGGGAGAAGAATCACCTCCAGCATTTGCGCGTAAGAAGCTGTTTTGTCCTGAGACTGAAACAGCAGCATAGGCCACCTCCAGTTAGAAGTCCAGGGGAACTGGCAGAGCTACTTGGAATGAAGGTGTGGTGAGGGCTAGTTTGGGAGGCATTTTAACAATACAGCCTTCCTATAAACCTTTCAAGGTGGCTTTCCCTCTGTCACCTCCCCGCGGAATTATTTTGCTTGGTTCTCCTCCTGCCTCCCAGGAGCATGTGCTGTCTTCTATTTTGGATTTAGGCCAAAGCTTAAGTCCCATAACCTGTTCCCTGTCTATGGCTGGGTCAGGCTTAAATTTTCCAAAGAAAGCATGTGAGATACCCTGAAGGGAAGGATGTATTTGTGAAAAGCGAAAACAGATTTCCAAAGTGCAGATAGCCGCTCCTATATTCCTTGTAAAAATAGCAGAAACCTCTGCTGAGCCCTTACACCCTGTGCTGGCCCCTCTCTCTTGGTCTGCACACACTGTGCTGTGTGGCCTGTGCTGCCTCCCTCTTACCACCTCCCCCAACAAGTAGAGTCTGGCCCTGGGCTTAGTTAGGCTCTATCTTGCCCCACCCAGGATGAAAGAACAAGCCTGTTGCAGACCCACCGGAAACTTACTCACTCTGCCTTTTTGTGGAAAAGACAGAGGAGCAACGCGAAGTGCGTTTATATGTTGAAAATCTGCCCTGCAAAATGTTGAAGCCAGGTCCAGTGCTATGCACCTGTAGTTCCAGCTACTCAGGAGGCTGAGCAGAAGGATGGTTTGAGGCCAGGATTTCGAGGCCAGCCTAGACAACTAGCAAGACCCCATGTCTTAAAAAAAAAAAAACAAAAAACTAAATGTGAAAGGGGTTGCACCTATGTTGATGTACGTTTAGACACACCTGTGTTTAGAGCCAGCCGTCTGCTTACAGTCATTCTGGTCGCCATTTTCATCTTTCATAGCATCCATCCATTAAGAAGTAAGACACATACATTATTAGTTTATATGAAAATGTCATATTCTGTTTCTAGTCATGGTTACCTTTAAGATCCGAGGATAGTAAACATGAAAGATAGGCAGTAACTTCATAAATACTCTAAAAAGCAGTGCACTTACTAAGGAAAATCAACTTTGCTAATCCAATGAAATTGGATTGCTTTAGAGCAGAAAACTAAGAAATCTTTGTTAAATTTTCAAGCCAATTTTCCATGGATCTGGTATTTGTAAGCCTCCTAGATGTAAAAAGTCCTTGTATAATTAGCTTTGGTTTATTTTGTTTTTAGACAGGGTCTCGCTCTGTCACCCAGGCTGGAATGCAGTGGCAGGATCATAGCTTGTTGCAGCCTTGAACTCCTGGGCTCAAGTGATCCTCTAGTCCGTCCTGATATTATTTTAATAGCGTATTTTTCTGGTAGTTGTGTTGAAAAACCTATTGTTTCTGCAAAGTGTGTTTCTCAGCTTTTCACACTGCCTTTTTTGTTTTGTTTTGCATTGGCAAGACAGTGTTTCCAAAACCACCTTTTTAGCATTTACACTTCTCTCGCCACAGTAGCTACTTTATGGCATCATGGTAAATGGAAGCAGAAAAATAGCCTTGAGCAGCAAACTCTATACCCTATGGACATTTTTAGCAATTTTAGTGAAGATAGCTGAACTTAAAAATAGACTTCCGCTTTAGTAATTGACATTTCTTGAGGCTTCCCATCAACTCTTAGTGCCTCTTATGCATTGGACTTTTTTTTTTTTTTTCAGTTCAATCAAAAGCCTGGTAGGAATTGCTAGCGTTGCCCCTGCCAACTCTCAGGTATGTGGTGTCTTAATCTGACTTCATTTCCATACATCTCAGAATCTGGGAGATAATGTAAATATTTTCATCCTCATAAAGTTGACTTGTTACTCCTTAAAATGCTCACAATATCCTTGAATGGGACATAATATCTAATTGAGTTTGTTGTTTCTTAGAAGTGAATCACCACGCCGGGCGCGGTGGCTCAAGCCTGTAATCCCAGCACTTTGGGAGGCCGAGGCGGGTGGATCACGAGGTCAGGAGATCGAGACCATCCTGGCTAACATGGTGAAACCCCGTCTCTACTAAAAATACAAAAAATTAGCCGGGCGTGGTGGCGGGCGCCTGTAGTCCCAGCTACTTGGAGGCTGAGGCGGGAGAATGGCGTAAACCCGGGAGGCGGAGCTTGCAGTGAGCCGAGATCGCCCCACTGCACTCCAATCTGGGAGACACAGTGAGACTCCGTCTCAAAAAAAAAAAAAAAAGAAGTGAATCACCGGCTGGGCGTGGTGGCTCATGACTGTAATCCCAGCACTTTGGGAGGCCAAGGGGGGTGGATCACCTGAGGTGAGGAGTTCGAGACCAGCCTGACCAATATGGTGAAACCCCGTCTCTACTAAAAACACAAAAAGCAGCCGGGTGTGGTGAAGTGCACCTGTAGTCCCAGCTACTTGGGAGACTGAGGCAGGAGAATTGCTTGAACCCGGGAGGCGAAGGTTGTAGTGAGCGGAGATCACGCCACTGCACTCCAGCCTAGGCAGCAGAGTGAGACTCTGTCTCAAAAAAAAAAAAAAAAAGTGAATCACTGTTCTTCTGAGGAGCCTTTTTTCCCTTTTAGGATTAACTTCTTAGAGAAGATGTTTCCTTGCAGGTTTCTGAAGTGCTGCCATTGGAGAAGCGATCTGAAGACTTCTGTGGAATAGGAGATCTAGCCCAGCTTTAGAACAGCTGAGAATCGTGTTCTCCTTGGTCTTTTGCTTTCAGAGCCAAGTGACAGGCACCCCCACAGCGGCCACTTGAGTTTGACTAGAGGAGCCCTTTGGCTCCCACTTGCTGTGTTACCTTGTAAAGCAGAATAGCATCCTGTATTTAGTGCTGGCTGAAAAAATTCTAGATTCCATAAATACACCTAAAGAACTGCAGTTCAGAATACTCATGACGTTCTGTGGCCCAGGTGCCTGCCCTCTCGGCCCCTGAAGGCAGCACCCCCAAGTTCCACCAAGCACCCTGGGTGCTCACCCTCACTGAGGAGTTCAGTGAAACCTCTAAGGTCAGCCAGGATTCAGTAGCCTCCAGGTTCTTCTCTCTGGATTCCCTTTGTTACTAAGAATATGGATTCTTCTTCAAGGCTGGACTTTCCCAAAAAGAATCTTGTTCTTGCTTCCAGCAGTGCCTGTTTCCCATTCTCTGTGTGTGTGTGTGTGTGTGTGACAGTCTCTCTCTGTCACCCAGGCTGGAGTGCAATAGTGCGATCTCAGCTCACTGCAACCTCCGCCTCCCAGGTTCAAGTGATCCTCCCACCTCAGCCTCCTGAGTAGCTGGAATTAGAGGCACCCACCACCACGCCCAGCTAATTTTTATATTTTTGGTAGAGACGGGGTTTCACCATGTTAGCCAGGCTTGTCTCAAACCCCTGACCACAAGTGAGCCACCCACCTCGGCCTCCCAAAGTGCTGGGATTCCAGGCATGAGCTGCCGCACCTGGTCCCCATTCTTAAGATAACCCGGCAGAGCTTCAACAGCCCCTGCCATTTCCACTAGCAGGGGGAGCTAGTGTTTGGGGTTAGGGTGCTGCTCCCAAAGCCTCCTGGGGGCAAATCCCAGCCGTACCACTTTCTAGCTCTGTGGCCTTGGGCAACTTACCTCTTGGTGATAACACCTGCTTGCATGGGTATTATGGAGACCAGAACGCTTTTGCTAATACTTAGCAGAATATTAGAGCCATGATGAAAAAAGTTCTTAACTTGTTTTTTGTTGTTGTTGTTGTTTGGTAAACATAGAACATTCTGTTGACCAGATTGACCTGAGAGGTACTTATTCATAGGAAACCTTCAGTGAACATTTATTGAATGAGTGAATCAAACCATTCATTCCCAAATTAGAGCGGTTTACATCTGCCTTCCCAGCAACCCTATGACAGTTCCATTTGACAGACAAGGAAACCAAGGCCCAGGCTGCAGAAGTGACTGTCTGAGGCTGCACACCCAGTAAGCCGCAGAGGGTGGGCAGAGGACTGCGCCAGGCGGCCCCGCTGCTGCCACAGAGGAGCAAAGAAGCACCTCTTCCTCTACTTGCCATCTTCCCTTCCCCATTCTTGCTCACCCCCCACCCCAGTTTTAATACATTTTCTTCCTTCCTTTATACAAAATCGATGTATGTTCATGGTAGAAAATCAAAGAGAAAATAAAAATTCCATTCTCCCATGCCCCCTCCTTCCTAGACAAGCGTAAGAAAGACAGAAAGTAGTGAAACCGGCAGGGATTTCGTGAACACCTTTATTGTCCCAGATCCTGAGATACAAAGAAATGGAAAGCATGGCGCCTGCATATGAGGAGCTTACAATGTAATTTAAGAAGTCAAAGGTGGGCTGGGTGCAGTAGCTCATGCCTGAAATACCAGCACTTTGGGAGACCGAGGTGGAAGGATCACTTTAGGCCAGGAGTTCACGACCACCCTAGACAACATACTGAGACCCCCATCTCTACAAAAAAATAAATAAAATTAGCCAGATGTGGTGGGGCACACTGTAGTCCCAGCTACTCAGAAGGCTGAAGCAGGAAGATTGCTTGAGCCCGAGAGATTGTGGCTGCAGCGAGCCATGATTATGCCATGGCACTCCAGCCTGGGTGACAGAGCAAGACCCCATCTCTCTCTCCCTCTCTCTTTTTTTTTTTTGGTAACAGGGTATTGATATGTTGCCCAGGGTAGCCTTTAACTCCTGGGCTTAAGCAGTCCTGCTTCAGCCTCCCAAAGCGCTGGGTTTACCTGAGCGACCACACCCAGCACCCCATTTCTTTTAAAA